CGCTTTGGATTGTAGTAGATTTCGGTTTTTCTTTAAATATTCCGTAGCAAATTAACTTTTTTTTAAATCAAAAACCTACTCCCTTGTAGATTGGTTTCCAGTAAAGTAAGGTCTTGTGCAAAAGAAATATTGCTTCAATTGATGCATGTGTTATTTAGGTTTCTATCCAGTGGTGAAAGTCCACAATCCATTTGCTCCTGAGATAAACGCGAAAAGGTGGCATCATGTTTGAACCGATGGCATTATCTRGTATCTTAAGGGATAATACTCAAGTCTTTCTAWTTATGTYAACTGGTTAATTTTCTAAACTGAGATTTCAGTTTTTGGTTATTTCATACGCAGGTAAAATTGTTGTTCAGAGATAGACCAAAAATATGATGTCATGTTTTTTCATGAATTTTTGGTWGCTTTTGTATGAAAACTRCATAGATTTTCCAAGTTAATCACTTTGTGAATGTATTATTTACGGCAAAAGTGCAGAMATCSGTGCCCTAGCTTAAATTGYTCCTGAGGAATGACRGAAAACTTTGTATTTGTTTCAAAAACTGCCACTATTTCKTAAATCTAGTTTCAGTTTATGCCTGGATCGTTAAATCTTCTACCCAGTGGTACRAAATTGAGCGCCGCKGTAAATGGTTCTTCAGRTYTGTCCAAAAAAGCRGTGTCATGTTCAAAACAGATGGYCCAATTTAATGAGAACCGCATAATACTAAAGTTTTTCTTGAACWATCATTTTTTGTATGAAAAYTKCTAATTTCTTCTAYGCGATGGTTCACTCAGTGATGGGTTCAATTCACTTGGGTATTTAATTSTACAAATCTTKGAGCAGAAATGAGGGGATTTCATGGGGTTTCGKCGATTTTTTAGAAGCCGAAGTAGAATTGCGGGGGCGATAAAAATGWTTCCAAATTAGCTTCATTTTCAACAATTRATTTCCRAACACAARGAAAGATAAACCCACTAAATAGAGTACAYTTTTTCTCTAATAGAGCTGAAAACCACGTTGTAATGGCAGTTTTCGACGATTTTTGGTGAAGGTTTAAAAGTAAACGTGCCTGCCCGAACCGGCGAAATGTAGCGATTGGTAAGAAATTGATTTTCAATGAATCATTTTTCGCAAGCAAAAGACAACAGAACGACGCTTTCTACGCTTCTGAATATACAGTTATGTCTCTCAAGGCCGGAAAATCTTCAGAAATGGCCGCTCCTATAAAGGTTCGGTCAATTTTTGACAAATATAAGTGCTTGGGCTACCAAAATGTCGCAAAATCATAGGTGAACGAGGCTCAATAAGTTATTCTTTTAGGAACAAGTCTCGACAGTGCGTAGCTTGTTATATCACTAAATAGAGCACACTTTTCCTTACTAATACGCTAAAATCGACGGCAGTTGGCTTTTAGCAATTTTTTACAAGTAGGGGTATGATGAAATTTGGGAAATAAGCAAACGCGGGTAAAGTTTGAAATAACACCATTAACAAAAGTGCCACTATTATTTGATTTCTGATTCGAATTGGTGACTGGACTTTTAAATCGGTTACACAGTGATAGGAAAACGTGAGTCGAATCTCAAATGGTTCTTAAGATTTGTCCAAAAAAACGGCGTCATGTTTGAACCAAGGGTAAAACTTGGCCAAAACCTCATAAAACTTAAATTTTCATTTTTTCCGTTAAAACGACAAACATTTTCCAAGCTCTTGTTCGCTAGATAAATGTGTTATTTAACTCTCTATGAAATAAGCAGCTTTCATGTGGATTCGACGAATTTTTACAAGCAGACATGCATAGGTAAGGAAATATTTTTTTGGACAAACCGGGACTAAATACGGCAGGTTGTCTTTTTAGAAACAAGGCGGGACGCAAAATACGGGACAATTTCCGGTAATTTTTGCTGATTTTTTTAAATAGACGTGCACACATGAGCATGCAAAATTTGGCAATTTATAGCAAATTGATTTTCAAAAATTAGTTGCTCGAAACCGAGACAAAATAGAGCGACGCTTTTTACACTTAGACAAGATCACAGCTTCTTCTACTAGTGCGATAAAATCTACAGCAGTGGCAGTTTCCATTGATTTTTATCCACCAATTAGGTGTGTAGATGTGTTCAAATTGGCCTAAAATGTTAGTGAATTGTTTCTCAGTAATTTATTCTTCGGCGCTAAAACACAACAAAGCGGGGCTTGTTACTTAACTGAATAGAGCCTTTTTCATTACAACTGCGGTAAAATCCAGGACAGTTTTCATGACGTTTTAACGAATAAAATGAGATTTTCGAAATGAGCATCTAGGTGGGTCACGTTTGCAATAATGAGATTATGTTGTACCTAAACGTGCATCATTGAAATTTCTTTCATGGTTTGAAAACTGCAACCGTTTCTTGATTTTTGTCTTAAGATGGTTTTTCAGATTTGCCAAAACAGGCGACGTCAAGTTTAAACCAATGATGGCTCACTTTCTCCAATACCGTGTCAAGGTTAAACTTTTTGTGTGAAAACCACCAATAATTTCCATGCGATCATTCCACTTGATGAATTTGTTATTTTATTCTCCATCCAGTGGAGCAAAAAAACGTCCTGACTCAATTTGCTCTTGGGATTTGAGCAAATTGGTGGGATCATGTTTGGAATAAAAGCCAGTTTTCCTTAATTTTCGTTATTTCTTAATTCAATTCGCTGATCGAAATTGGTTTTTAATTCTCTATACAGTGGTTGTTAAACGAGCGCTGTAGCTCAAATGGTTCTTGTGAGATTTGACGAAAGAGACGCCGTTATGTTTGAACCGACGGCTCAATTTCCCCAAAAGCGAGTAAAACCGAAAGTATATTGAAATTGACCTTTTTGTGCAATTGCCTTGACGGAAATGATTCATCTACATTACTTTTGTTCCCAAGTTTCGGCGATCGATTTAAAAAATGTATAATTTAGTCACGGTAAATTTAAGCTTAAATAAATGATTTTCACGTCGCAGGGCTTTACTACTCTACTATCGGACAATGGGAAAATTGCCTTTGTCTTCTTGACATGTTTTGATACTCTGAACCCCAAAATGCTTCAGTTTTCGTCTCCATTCATGAATACATCCGTACTTCCGAATGCCTTTCATTCCTAGGTTGTCAAATATCTTAAATTTTCGGAATAGTGAACTTAATTTAATTAGTATACTGTCTTTAGTAAGTCGCGGTAACAATAATTTAATGTTCTACTAATAAATGTTCTACTAATAATATTTTTTCTGCATATTGGCTTATCTGCATACATTGAAAAATGTCTTCATACCTAATTGAAAACAACTCGATTCAAATCAGTTTAGTCACTTCAGGGAAATTTTCAGTCTATTAATCTGTGAAATCGGATATTAAGTTGGACAATTCCACCCATTATTTGACGATAAATGTAACAATTGCGGCAACATTGGGCTTAAAGCGTCGGGACGCCCAAGTCGCCATCGAGTCTACGCAGGATGCATCGAAAAGCTGGGGCGCTTTATCGCAAAGCTCTAGCAACAGCTTTCAGACGGAAACATCGTATTAGAATTTCCTTTCTAATTGCGCAAAATTCGAGTCCTGAAGTGTTTCACCCTCAAAAATATCGGTACTTACATGACGCGATTTTGAACGCCGAAGACATCGCGTGCCGGAAATCTAGCGACGATTTTGTTTTGCTGTCGTTGTTCTCTGAATGACCTTTCCAGTTCACAGTGGAAAAACAGGTGTGTGAGTAGTGCTTTTCCGGTGTTTGTTTTTTTTGACAGCAGATCTTGAGTTTTTTCAATGGTACCCTACGCTTCTAACTACACAATAAAATTGGCACAAAGTACGAATCATTTTATAGCTTCTTTGCCATTCTAACTATTATTAAACTTCATCGTTCCACTATTCTATATCCCAATTTTTCTCGTACAATCAGAAATTTTAGGGTTGCTTTATTGAGCTTTAAATGATTCTTCCACCATCGATCAAATCGGCTGAAGATGTTGGAAATAATATTCTCGGAGACTCATATTGTGTTTTACAGATCGAGTTAGCATTCCCGTTTTTAGTAAACTTATTTAATTTAAACTGTTAATCGAAGCTACTGAGCCGGTCCTGTCAGGATAAGGTGAGAATGCATTTTAAATTTAAATCGGCTTATTTCCATCAAAACATCCGGATCTAGCAATATTTATAAAACATCAAACCGTAAAACGGCGGCTGTTTTCTCAATGAACACCCTATGTTTCCAATAGCGTCTTTGTTTTCCTCTAGCAGTGGCGTTCTTCTGTTCCCCCTAAAATAACAAACCATAAAAGAGGCAAGAAATAGGGACCCTCAAGTTTTTTTCATTATATTTCCGGCCAACTGCGGAACATGAAAATGGCATTGTGTTCTCCTAATTAATTGATATGAGGTCTCTTTGTATCGCTATGGTGACCCAGTTTGGTTTCACGTGAAAAATAAAGGCTTGAAAATCAAATAAAATTGTAGCAGAGCAGTTTGCAAGAAAATCCATGAAAGCAACAGTAATAAATATTGCTGACATTTTCTGTTTTCAAATTGTAAGGAGTGTCTAAATCAGTTTCGTCTAGAAGTTTTGTTATTCTTAGTGAAAAACTACTAGCCAACTGTAATTACATTTTTCACTTTAATTTCAATTAAATAACTATGTATCTGTTTCATCAAATAATAATTCCATTGTTTTTTTGTATGTATGAAAAGATCCATCATTAAATTAAAGCATTAAATAAGTGAGTCACTCAATGCTACCAGCAATGGAAAAGGAATAAATTAAAAATAAAGGAACTGTTTTATCAATAGTTCGTACTACTTGCGTGTTTTAGGTCAAACAGTTGAAAATGCCCACCGCCGTATGTTTTGAATGTGGGGTGAATATCTAGGGCGGCATATTTAATTATTTAAATAATGCTTCTTGTTTTCGTTTCAGTATTTCATTATTCCCACCCAATTAAAGTTCTATTTTAAATGAATGCATTTCAAGTTATCCGAGAATATAGGAGAGTTAATAACAGTGAGCGTTTTAATTAAAAGTTAACTGCGAGGGCATTCGTCCTTTGGCCATGTGTTTTCTGGTGTTAATAATGATTTCAAGACAATGTGGGTGAGTGACCGGTCAAAATCGATTGCTTTGAAAAAATTCAATTGACCCTGTATATCAAATGGTAGCTAAAATATACATAGTCAATCATAATTAATCATATGCAAGTGCTGTTTCGTTGAAGTTTTATTTAGTAAAATTTATTTTTAAATACACACTTATAAGCTAACTTTTACAGCATTTTCTTGGCAATTGAATAATAGGGGGACAGTAGCGGCTAACGCGCAAATAAATACATTGGAAACTTCTGCTGAAATGGGAGAATGGTTTTTTTGCAAACCAGAAATATCTCTGTAGTACCTATGCAGTAGATAACTGCAGTTTTATACAAGATATATAAGTTCAAGACAAAATACAGACATTTGTAAATCACAAAATAGAACGTTTTCATCGATGCCTAAAAGTGAATTTTATTTGTCGTCAACAAAAGCAAACATTGAGAAGGCACCACCTTTATACACCGTGTATTATCCTAAGGAAAGCTATTTTTCAAAGTAGCTAAGTTTCAAATCAAAGTTGTTTGTTATCCATGTTAACACTACTTTTGTTACGTTTTCAAATTTTATTTCCTTGGGCATCTAACAAAATCATTCAAATCACGTCATAGTGCTGCTGCCCATTAAAACATTTATTCGCATCATGGACTGCTACTAAGATTTTCATAAAAAGTGCCTTCTGGAAATTAGTTGTTTAATGTGATCTGAGTGGAACAAATGATCCGGAAGAACAGAAAGGTAACCCTAGAACTAGTTTTTGCATGTTTTGTGTTTGGCAGGTCTATAAGAGCGCTTGCACCCTACTTCAGTGCTGCGACATCTTAAAGCTTTTCTAACTCCCTTGTAAACTCCTTTCGCTTTGCATTGTATGTCACCCTCGGATCAGTATTCCCTAATATTTTTTGGTTTCCTGTTTTGGCATGTCTGGTGTGAGGCTGAATTGAAGCGCTTTTATTCGCAATTTCCTTAAGTGGTAGGTTTGCAGAGGACAAATGCGATCAGGATTATGTTAAGGAAAAAGTTGCATTAATTATATTCCAAAGCTGCCAAGGGAGAGATTATTTAGTGAAGAGATGCAGTGATCATGCGAGCGCAATTTATAAATTTGGAGGCGCAAATTTTTATTCTTGAAGGGCAGTAAACTGTGTTAATTAGCCACAGGGCTCTGCGATTTCAAACGTAAAAATTATATTATAATTAAAAATATAAATATCACTTATTTGTATAGAAAAAGAGCATTTTAGCAATTTCAAGACTGGATTTATACCGTAAATCTTTGAGAATCGTTTTTTGAACACTCTTTTAAATGATTCTCCTCGAAATGATATTTTGATCAGAGCGGCAAAAATAGAATACAAAAGTCGTAATTACACATGCTCAATTACGTTGTGATTGTTCGTTGTATGTGCATAATCTCAAGAGTCATGCTTTAAAATTCGTTTGGATATTACACGATACATCACTTGTACTTTAAACGAGATTATGCAAGTCACTTTGATAGGTACAGCCAGATTATTTCGTATACAAGTCAGTATGTCTATAGGTTCAAGATCATTTAGAGGGTCTTGTAGCATTTAAGATGCATTGTGCATATACATGAAATGTGTCCATGATATATCGGAAATATATTATCGCTGGCTTTGGATACAATATGGTAATATTCGTGGTATCAGCGGAATAAAAAGAATTTTTGAATAGGATGGTCACCTATTATTAGTTGGGTCATTTGAAATGGCCTTTTTCGTTAGCGGCTGTTGTGAACCATACGAAAAATGTGGCTTAAGTAACTTAATGTATGATACCTTTATCCCAACATTTATTAACTATTGAGGTGTCTGTGCAGGAAAATTTCCAAAAGTTCAAACTTGTTTATTCCTAAAATTCAATTGAACGCTTTAAAAGGCACGCAAATTTCAACTTATTTTACATTTCAATTCCCAATTTTGAAATCTGAAAAGAAATGTTCTGATATTTTTATATTCATTTAATTTTCCTTGTTGAGAAGGTATGGGCTGAACTGATTTAAATTTGAATTTTTGACAAATTGCGAATAACCAATTTTATATGTTTGCGTTGAAACTACTATTGTATGTATTATGCACGAAGCGTACAATACTTATTCGAAGACGATTCTTCATTTATTAGGAAACATGAACACCTTATTAGCAAAAAAATTGCTAACATATCTTAGATAAAAACTATTGACACTTTTTTCTCGCTAAACCCTTCTCAATTGATTCGACCTAAAATGTGTTTTTTCTTATAATAATGCATATAAATGCTAAAGCGGAGAAAAAGTTCATCGTTGGAAAATGTTATCATAAGTATATCGCTTAGGGCAGTAACAATGTGAATTGGGTACTTTTTTTATTGCTAAGACTTGTTTTTCCTTATTATGAAAAGTTGGTGCATTCAACTAAAATTTAGTAAACAAACAGCTTTAAAAAATATTTAAAGATATTTTTAAAGCATCCGATTATCTATATTGAAAAGTGCATAACCGCAAAAAGAAATGGTTAGCAAATTTTAGTAGTCATTGTTAAGTTATTATGGGTAAACGAGAACGAAAGATGACAAAATCTGACAAATACAATTTATGTAAGTTTGTACTTACATGCATGCGTAGCTTACATAACAATACTAAATCAGGATTTTTTCCTTAGTCTCGGATATTAATTGTTTCTGTACCGTTTTCAATTTAAATACAAATAAATGTCGCTGCTTTGTTTCGAAAATTTAAAAAAATGCATATGAAGCATGTTCCTTGTAATTTGATTAGCACTCTAAAATTTTTTATTATGTCACTACCAAATATAACTAAAATATGTTTTAAGTATTTTCCTAAATATTTTGTAAACTTGAAAAGTGGATTTTTACTTGATAAGTCTTTACGATTTTCTTGAATCGTACATTTATCAAGTTGCTCGTCTTTACCGCCAACGAGGACACGAATGTTTTCTAATTCAGTTTTAGTTTTCGATATTCTATTATATTAATACCTAATAAAACAATAATCCCTCAGGTGGCACCAGTGGATTTGATGGGAAACGTAATTTTTTTATCAATAACCGAATCCGCTACTAGTCAGCACATTAATAAATTAGATCATTGGCCTTACTTCAGAAAACTAGAACGAATTAATGAACCATATCACATTGTTGAAAATAGGTTAATTCGAATCGATTTAACATCTGCTGTGTTCAACAAAATATTTGAGTAGAAATTGAAATAAGCTGCTGCTCTGTAATTACTGAATTAAGTAAATTAATATAATTATGCAAATGATCAGTAATATAATTCCATCAGTAAACCATTCATTTTCGTAGAAATAAAATTTTGTGTGTAGGCGTTTCATAATTGTATAGAGTATGACCCACATTTCCTTTACTTTGCCACTTACCAATGTTTAGCCAGCTTTATAATAAGATTCTTTATTTTTACGTGCTCAGTTAAATGTTAATTTCGAGGCAATTTAATTTTAAAAAATTAAATTTTTGTTTAACATCTTTCCATTTCCATTTTTATGATTTCCATTACTATGATCAAACGCACTTCGGCTCACACGAAAGCAAATATTCTCTGTAGAACAGAGGAATGTTAGGTTTTGTTTAAAACTTTATTTGAACATGTTTACCTGATAAATGGTCATTGGTCCGAATAATTGAAAATTACTTCCATACATATTTAAGTGTGTGAAACGAAGGTGGTTGTTCAAATAAATAATAATTGAAATATTTGCTAAACGTTTAATTTCAAACCGATATCATCGTGAATTGTTGAATTTTCTAATATTGATTACAACATAACAGATAGACAATAAATGGTCCTTCACCAACACTTCAAGATTTGTGTCTTTATTTCTTTCTTTCATACTCTGTTTTCATTGAATACAAGACTAATTTCAAATCTTGGCAAATTTTGACAATGTGTGATATGAAATATGTAAAATGATACGTATTTTATTGGTTTTGGTTTATTTAGTTATTTTTTATTTTACACTACGTACTAACTAAAGCAAGCGCATAAAAAAGTTAAAAGCCTTAAGGCAAAATTGATTAAACCGCTTTTGTGATATCTTCATAACTCTTAGATTTTACTCTAAACAATTGAAATTGTTTTTGGGGCATGACTGGAAATTTCACAAAAGATCGCTATTTATGCTAATCACCCCAAGTGGCTTCAATAAAAATAAATTAACAATTAGTGAACATTTAACAAATTGACAAAAAGTGTTTCTCACTTTTTAGATGTGCGGAATCTTCAGTTATATATTTGCCAACATCTGAAATTGAATATTAATAATTTGCTTGCAATTTATTGAAGCAAACTGAAATTTGCAATTTTCTGTTTTATGTACATTCTGGATACAAATCTTTAAATTTAGCGCGAATTTAACTTAGTTATTTCTGAGTCTTTGGCGGCTCTGATGATGCCCAAAGTTTCAGTATTCTTCCAAAATTAAATTTCTCTTTAAATTAAAAAACTCCAAATGAGTTCAAATTTCCTTTCAAAATATAGTGAAATCTGATCTGCTAAAATGAATTATATTCATTTTTTCTAGCTTGTTGTCAACTATTGTTGAAGTACACCTGAAAGGTAAAGTTTAATGTTCAGGATTGCCAAAACTATATAAAGAAATATACATGTTTCGTTCGTAAGCATCATTATACAAATTCTTAAAAAATCCAAAGAAAGGCCGAGTAACGGATATTCCAAAAACCGTCAGCGGCTTTGCTTGATTGGAAGGACTTTTTTCTAAAAGGACTACTTGTAGTGGTAATTTCGTTTCCGTACAAGTCTCTGCCAAGAGTGTCCAACTGCATGATTCATTGCATATTTCAAGTGAGCTCATTAAATTAGATATACCTTAAATAGTCCTATGATTTCCTATAACTATTAATTCCTGCAAATTTATCAATAATGCTCCCAGGTTAGCGTATCGATAAATCATCAGTTGCATGGCGATTTTGACAATAATCATAAATACCCGGCAATTTATGAAATATTCGTAATGGTTATATGCCAGCCGCTTTATAGGTTAACGGGTCTATTAATGCCGTTGTTTTCCATAAAATTGAAAAATGATTTTCGTTAGGAATTTCTATCAATTAACGTTTCCGTAAATCGGACCATCTCACCATCCTAGCCAACATTAACCTGTTTGAATTATTTTTTTTGTGAAACTGTAGATGTTTATGAGTTGTTTTTTAGTATCACTATTAGCATAGTGATTTTATGAGGATTTTATTGTATACGTGAAATTTGATTATTCGCTTATGGGCTTGATTTATTTTAAGCAACACAGTTATTTTACAAAATTAATTGTTTGGTTTATGGTTTATGCTCAACGGTATTTTATCTTCAATTTATTCTTGGACCTCAAATATTCCTAAATAATGCATTTAATTAACATTGAAGTGTCTAATTTCACTTCAGTTTTATTAATTTCAGTTCTTAACTTACAACGTTGGTAATTTACTTGTCCTTTACTCTAAGAAAGTATAGAAACTTTTGTAATTACTGAGTTACATCAAGTTTTGTTTTGCCCCAAAAATTCAGATCAACAAAGAATTTATTTTGCCAAGAACAATAGAAAGAAACAATATTTGCTAATACAACAGACGTTTATAGTGTAACCATCAAATATAATTTACGACTTACTTCATAGTCACGTTATAAAATATTTTGGCCAGCTCTAGTCCATTGATTTTCAAAATACTCATTTTTCGGTGTGTTTGTTGTTTGAATTGTTTTCATTGTTATCGTTTATTTTTCTATATTGTTTAAAATTTATCTCTGTTACCTTTTTTCATTATTGTTTCAGTGTGAACAATAAAGTAGATACTAAAAGTGAAAAATCTTGATTATTGCCACAGTATTTTTCAGAAACTTCCTGCAGTTTCCTGTTTGAAGAGAACTAAATAATTTTAGGTAATTTTTCCCCCAAAATCGTCTGTTAAGCATTTTTTTAAATTCTATTGCAGGTGACCCCGAGCAACCAACAAGCCATCACATACGACGAAGAGTCTTGGAAGCCAAAACCCGAAGATTCTTCCTCAAAAGAAAAAAGTCCCGTTCCCTCAACACCTTCAAGTTCGTCCTCGAAAAGCAGCAAAGCAAAAAAAGTGAAAAAATATTTGAAAAAGTGCAAAAATGTCCTTGGCAGTAGCAAAGCGAGTACTAGTTTTGACTGTGAGACTGCATCCCAATTATCTGCACAAAGCTCTGCAAGTTCGTCCTGGTATGTGGATTCGAAACTAGATGGCCTAATCCAGAACGGGAAGGTGAATGAGATTGAAGAGGCTTTTGATGATGTTCAGCCGCTTAAAGTTGAACCTCCAGTTCAGTGGCAAGTAGCAAATATAATCCAGCTCAAAGGCCCACAAGATGATGATAAATCTGAGAATGAAGCAGATAAGGGATCTGATCTGAGACAGGAGAGTGAAGACGCTTGTTCTAAAAGCTCGGCTAGTGTGGAAAATTTTCATTCGGCCATTAGTAGTGCGAGTAGTGAAACTTTAAAATCGGACGATTGTGAGTTTTTTTCCTTGGATTCAAAAAACCAGGAACGCGATGAGACTGACTATACGCATAAACAGAACGTTATAGAGAGTTATTTTAATTCGATTGCTAGTGAAACCCAAGAGACGCGAACTTCTTTTAATAGTGACAACACACGAAAGCTTAACAGTGAATTAGGAACATTGGAGCTGAATGAACTCAACGATGCAGAGTTGAGTATCTCTCCTGTCTTGGAAAAAGCACAAGAGCAGGTTGATGATGCCAATAATGAGGAGTCTGCTACCAATTACCCGGTAAGTCACCACTTATAATGCTTATAAAATTCAGATGTTTTCTCAAAGACATAAGCGTATTTCTATGACATAACTTTCACTTTTTGAAGTGAATAGTATGATGAACAGTTTGCCTTTTGACCTAACACTCTTATTAGCCTTTAAACGAGGCACGACTAAACCAGGGAACTTATAAATGCAGTTAAATAACGATAATTTAGATAGGATGAGAAATAAAAATCTTATTGTGCTTTACACATTGAACACATCAGGCGTTTTGTTAATTATCAATGTGTTTTGCTAATCCGATAAATAATTTGTAAAATTTCTTTAATGTGCCTTTCCTGAACAGCTTTTACTACTGATTTATTTTCACGAAGTAAATGTAGTATTTGGACAGGGTGAGAAGGAATTATCGTATCTAATGTTGCGTAATATTCATGTTGAGAGATTGAATGCTAAGTGATTCAAGTGAATGCATTTTTGAAAGCTAATGCTCATGTAATACAGTAGGTGTTGAAATTAATTCATGTGCGTTGCATAATGCGTTATTCTTCCGAATTATTTGTTTAAATGTATTTAAAATGCTGTTATGGTGAGTTCCATTGTTTTTATTATTTATACGAGACTGGCTTAATTTATAGTGAGCCAAGACAGTCTATTTCTATACCTTTCATGATTGGTTTTTGAGTCTCTGTAACATTGTTTGTTATTTCATATAATTGATTCAAATAAACGCAGTGGTCTAGTTATCGCAGGGCCTTCATATTTTTTTAAATGCAAGCAGCAAGAAAATTTGCTGTAACATTCAGTGGTGCTCAACGTTCGAGTATTTTATCATTTAACTGTATACTCGCGATCGAGTTTTGAGGATGCGAAACGCTTGAAGTAGCGAAATGTTAGCGAGAAATTACGGCATATAAATAACATCTTTTGGGAAAGTGGGTATACTGTATTTATTCCCAATTTGTTTCAATATAAGTCTCTAGGTAAATTGTGTTTCCATTGCAGACTACCATTTAGTCTTGTCAAATTTGCTGTTAAATTCACTTTGTCATCAAATAAATTAAATTTTATCAAAATGGCTTACTGACTAAAGTTTTCAAGTACCTAAAGAGACTCACAGATAGTTGACAAGTAAGTTTGTACTCGTTTCAGGTCCATCGATCAAACCATTGATGGTGTACATCTTAAACCATATTTTGAGCTTTTCTGCCAAATGTTTCTTCGTTTCTCTTCTCCGGTGTTTTTCTTCCTAGCTCGTTTTTGCACTATTGTGGTACTTATTGTGGTACTGGTCTTCTTCATCGCTTGATTATATTTGTAACTTTACCTGTTTTAAGTAAGTCTTCCTTTCATAGAGGCGTTTTTCTGTTGATCTTTAAATGACTGTCTCAATATTTCCTTTTCAAAATTTTTCAAGATTTCTATTATTTTAATAACTTGTTGTGTTTTCGGTTATTTGGCAAGCATGCTTTGAACACACTTTTTAAATGGTGTATTATTATCAATATCTCATTAGATATTTAAATCCGAATATGACCTACACTGACAGTTTTGACCATAATTATTACTAAATATTAATATCATAATTATTACAGTTTTCGTTCAGTTCTTAATTATTTGAAATCACAAAAAATAAATGCCACCATTCTTTTTCACATTTTAAAATGGTTCAAGAACTGTCTCTCTTGCACCTTATCAGTACCTAGAAATTATTTCTTGTAAAACACGTCAATAAATCCACTAAAAGCTTGAGGCAAACTAGTAAAACCACGTTTCATTCGTATGAAAGGAAGAATGCGTGTTTATAAAAAAAATACGGCAATTTAAATGAAATATTACTCATCTTGTAAGCTATTTATGTTTCTCTTTCTATTCAAATTTCCAATTCAAAGTTGTTCGTCCTACTGTGAGATCAGTTATACAAGTAGCAGATTTCTACTTGTTCCGGAATTGTAAGAATTCCTGAACTGCTGTCAGTTAACTGTTCTATTTATCGTATCAATAGAAATAGTACAGTACCTATCCCGAGCAGAATTTACACATAACAAGCAACATGTTCCAAATATTTACGTGTAAGTAATGATAAATAACGGAACTAAAAACCAGCAGTTATATTATGCACAATCTATTGGACCACTATTATTTACTCAATTATTTATCACGCGCGCATACGGATTAGACTATTCCCTACACATTTTGCGTGCTCGTTATTTAATGAAACCAAACTTGATTTATTCACTCTAATCTAATAACTTTAAACTATAAATTATACTATTTGTCACGCCTAGTTTATTTGTTTTAATAAACACTGCCTGCCAATTATCTTTATAAACAAATTAGCTTCTTCGGAATTTCAGTGAGTCTTCGCGTGGAAACCGATAATATTTCATGTAAACCACCATTCATTTAAATGTTTCCTTGATTAAATGAGTTGGACTCTCTGGGGTTGACAAAGTATCAAAATATACCTAGCAGTGATAGTCTTATGTGGAGAATTAGAATCGCTGACCGCGGTTAAGCCAAATGGCATTTTGAAGAAGAAATATTGGAATTACTAATGTAGCAGACTTGATCACAAGAAGCAAGTGTTTGTGCTGCAAGTTGTAGAGGGCTCCAGAAAACAATCTGCAAATAAAACGCCCTAAAGAAGCTGCTGTTTTCTTAAGTCTGAGTGTCTAGATTAGTCCGATCGCATTGTGGATGATTTTACATATCTGCGTTTGCTCTTTAAAAATTCGTATCCTCTTAAACTTAAACAAGTAGTATTCTGCAATTTTCACCATCTTCGGATGACGCTTGGCTGGAAGAATGGGAAAGTTTTAAATAAACTGCCGAAAAAAAAAATTCGGCTTTTTGCCACTTTGGTAAAAATTAGCAAAACTCAGTCTAACAATTTATGCTTTTACTCAACTGCACTCGCTTTTTAAAAAATGTGCGTTCTCTAAACTAAACCCGGGAACCACAAAAATTTTTTCGCACTTTCAGAACATGAGAGATGCTGTAAATTTCACAAAATTAACCCAATAACCAGAGTTTTTCAGCTGCGCGAATATGGGCATCCGAATTAGTGAATGTCGGTCTCATTAATGCGTGTTCTCTCTATGTAACGTAACTCTTCTAGGCTATCTTTCAATAATCGGGATATTTCAAACTAACACGATCAGCAATTTAAAATTTTGCCTATCTGTAGCGGAAGCTTAAGTGGAAAGATGCTGAACCTTCGACAAAAATCCGCCTGAATTCTGATTTTTTCCGATTTGGTAAATGTGGATGCAAAATTTAGTAAATTTAAGTCTGCTCAGGCAGAGTAAATTTTCGTGCCCTCTCATTTAAAAATTCGCAATTTACGAACTAACACAAGCAGCAATGTGAAATTGTCACCAGCTTAGAAAAGACTGGACGAATTGCCCTGCAAAAGTTTCTTGAAAATTGCCCGAAATTCGAATTTTTGTCAACTTGGTAAAGTGTGGGTGTCAATATAATTAAATATCAGTTTTAATTGGTGTTTTAAATAAATAGTGCTGCCTCTTTTAAAAATGTATAACTTTCGAACTGATAGAAGACTCAATCTGAAATTTGCACCATATGTAGAAGAGACTTGATGTGGAAAATGCTCAAAGCTTTGTTGAAATCGCCCGGGATTGCGAGTTTTGCAGGTTAATTAAAATCGGGTGTTAAAATTAGTAAATAACGGCATCATCACGGTTTTTACTCAAATGCGTTCTCTAATATTCTAGAATCATCATCCACCAAACTAAAGAACGTCGCTATCTGAAATTTCCATCGTCTTCAGAAGATACTTGAAGAAGATTTCCATTTAAATTGAAATGAATATATTCTGAATTATCGAGAAAAGAATCGCATATTACTAATTTATCTATGGCTGTATGTATGTTTCAGTCAAAACACGTTGGCCTTTGAAAATTCCTCTCAAGAAAATGTGAAAATTTTTATTGCGCTTTTATGTTGATCCGCTATTTCACGAACATATTTGCAGTGAATTCGCCAACATTCTTAATATTGCCTAATACCCTCTGAAGAAATAAATCCGGTAAGTTTCGTTAAAACTATAAATTATTCAACAAGATAATAAATCATCCGGCTTAATTTTTCGCCAACCCTTGCGATTTCTAAATTTTTTGCCATTTTCTTATACTTTATATGTTCAAATAAACAACTGGTAGTTAAGTCAAGCCAACGATTGTAGGTCAGCAAACAGTTCAGGGACAGCGATATTTTACAAGAAGGGCGTTACGAATAATATTTAAAAATTATAGTATGTACGATATATCTGTTGCCCTTTCCATAGTTACTCATCCATGAAACCGTAGGGTTCTGCAGCGTTTTATTAATGGTCGAACGCATTAACCGTTGGACCTCCTTATAGAAACTTGCTTGACTATGCACTTTTCTAGAGACATTAAAAAAGAGGCAAAACTAGATTAAACAGTCATTTTTCTTGGACCTAAAATGGACTTGCGTGTGTTGCTCTGTGCGGTATTAATTTTCATAAATCTGATTCAGAGCCACTCCTTTCCGCGGTATTCCTCTGAACAACTTTGCAGCAAATACTTCTCATATAAATAACCAAAGATTGTTGGTTACAAATAGGATTACCTTAGCCGCATGTAAAGAACTTTAATATCCTTCACTACTTTATGTTATCAGTTTTGCAATCGACTCGTATTCGTACGGCCGATTTAGTTATTCATGTAGTGCATTCAGAAAGTACGGTTTCCTCGGTATTCCACAAATACGACATCGTATCAACGAGAAAGCAATAATAATGTTGCAAGACGGAATTGCGTTTTTCCGTCCAGTTTCAAACATGTACTTCAGTTTTGAAACTAACATGAAAACTGTTACCAGTTTAACAAGCGTTTCTTCTTCAATTCTCTAGCAAATGAAGGCTATGCTTCTGGAGAAATCATTTCCAGTTTCCAAATATCGTGCGTTGAAGCCAGATAATTTATTTAACTTTATCGAGTATTCTTGAAAAATTTAGGAGCCATTTG